GAGAAACCCAAACGTGAGCACAAGTCCTCAAGCAGGAGGGAGGCAAGAGAAGAAAAGAACAGGGATAGGGACAGAGGGCGAAGCTCAGACACACAATCTGGCTGGAACTGGCGTTCTGAAGGGCATAGTCATAGAAGGAGGAGCCATGCCAGGTCCCACAAGCATAAAAGGGCCCGGTGCTCCCCGGAGCGGGACTCCTCAAACCCCGGGGACCACAGGCAGCACCGAAGCCTGTTCAGCTTCTCAGTAGATTTGGAAGTGAACTGTTTTTAAATGCAGTCAAATTCAGTTATGTTGTTCCTATTTTTGTGTATAAAACCTCTGGGGCTGAATTCTTTTAATCTCTTGAATGTTAGAGTCATTGAGAGGCATATAGTTTCAACAGCCACATAGCCACAATTCGTTGGGCGGGGGAGGAGGGGATGGGTATATGCAACCAGAACGGGTAACATGTGCAATGTGTGGGGGATGGACACGCTTGAAGCTCTTACTCAAGGGGGGAGGGGCGCATGGGCAATATATGTAACCTTAACACTTGTACCCCCATAATATGCTAAAATAAATTTGTTGTTAAATACCATCCGGTGTCCACTCTGAAGTCTTCCTCAAGAAGCTTGCAGTAATGAAATCAGTTGATATTTCTTGCACCCGGTCTGGCATTTCAATCGCCCCAATTTGATTTGGGGTAGCTGACATTTTAGCCATGCCCGGCTAATATTTTCTATATATATTTTTAGTTGGCCAATTAATTTCTTTCTATTTATAGTAGAGACGGGATCTCACTCTTCCTCAGGCTGGTCTGGAACTCCTGACCTCAAGCGATCCTCCCGCCTTGGCCTCCCAGAGTGCTAGGATTATAGGCGTGAGCAACCGCGCCCGGCCAACAGCAATCTTTTTAAATCTAGAAACAATCCCTCTACTTCTTCCCCCATGACAGTGACTTTTGGAAGGCTTCAGGCCTGCGTGGCTCTGGGCCCCCACAGCACAGCTAAGCTGAGCTGATCTCGGAGGTTCAAACCGGGAAGTTCTTCACTGCCTTATTTATATTTGAACATTTAGATTCAACACTTTAAAGTGGCGTGGTTGTCAGAGAAAAAAATATGAGATTAAAGAAATCTGAACTTTAAAGGGTTTTTAAATGGGCAGGGGTCTATTCAGATTATTTAAAAGCCACCACAGCTTCTCTTTCCATGTGTATTGTATAAAAATAAATAAATAAATAAAAACAATAAAAAGAAAAAAACAAAAACAAAAACCCACCACAGCATGGGCGCTGTCCAGTTGGAACAGACTGAGTCTGGCCTAATAGCCTTCTCCTGCAGGACCATGTTCTCTCTTCCATGGGTGGGTCACAGGGGTGGGGAGGGCCTGGGACCTCTGGAGGGCTTGGGAGCCACAGCAAGACACCTCCCAACACAGAATTCTGTCAGCCTTTTACAACCCATTTGGCCTCAGCAATGTCAGCCTGCCTGAGGGGTAGACTCAGGTCAGTCACTGTCCCCAGGTCCATAATCTCAGCTTCCCCTGGGGTTTAAGACGTGTAGGAGAAGGAATGGCCCCATCTCAAATCAAAGTGGAAGCAGACATAAGTCACAGAAGATAGAAGGCAAGAAAAGAACCATTGGACTAAGAAGAACAAAGAACCAGTTGGGTTCTTCTGTCAACAATTGTGCTACAACCTCTAATAGCTTTGGAATATGCATTGAACTATAAGAAAGCTCTCCAAAACATGTCATTGGTTAGGAAAAACATCAAATTCCTGATCTGAAGGTAAAATGTGTTTATATAAATAGATCGTGGATTATCCCAACAAGCTGGACTAGGAGTGTGCCCTGGTGTGCAGAGGAGGGGCACGGGGCTGGCAGAGAGACAGGCTCAGGCTGGGGCTGGGGTGGGAAACACAGGAACATTCTCGAACACACCTCCCTGCCTGTGCTTTACCGGCCTAATCTGACCCGTGAGCAACTCCAAATCTGACCTAAAATGCGTTCTTTAATTCAGGACTCTCCTCCAGATGGCCTTCCCTGGACACTTCCTGACACCGTTTGGGTGGGGGACCCTGCTCAGTGCTCCCCCAACTCGGCCCCTGAATTGAGCATCCCTGCTGACGTGCACCCGCCCACTGCGGACTCCTAGGGACAGAGCTGACAGAGTGGGGACTGGGGAGGGTGGGGTCTGGGGACAATACATGTAGAACAGACCTGCAACCCAAGCCACCTCCGGGGTGGAGGTGGGGGTGGGGGGGTGATGGCATACACCCAGCAATGCGAAGAGCAAGGCACCAGGCCACATGAACCTGTCCAACTCTACACAGCCAATCCTCATAGGTGACTTTGTCCTCAGATGAGCACACAGCTTCTTACCCCAAGAAGGTCCTTAAGGGAGGCAAGCTTGTTTCCCACCAGCTCGGCCATCTGGGACATCCCACCTCTTTACCAGTAGCTGCCCAAGATCACTGTCAGTTTATCTTGGTCAGAAAAACTGCAGCGATTCACAACTCTGTCCATGCGTGTTTCTCATCAGGGAAGACAGAGGGATCAAGCTGAAGGTGACTCCCCACCTTGCTGGGATCCAGACTGTCAGTCTCCCCTGAGAAGTGGTCAAGGGCAGAGCTCCATCTATAAGGACTGCTTTAGGTCCATGCCCCTCTGACCTCTGCAGTTGAGGAAGGTAAACCCTCTAAGCAGCTAGTCACTGGAATGGACACCTGAGCGGGAGATGCAAGTCCTTTGGAGCCTTCTACTTACAGAAGGTCCATGCTCACTTGGGTCTTCTACCCCCAAGGCCTGGGAGGTTCGAGCAATCACCAGGACAGGCATCAGTGAACTCAAGGAGTCCAGAAGCCTCTGAAATCTGGAGAAACTGGGCACCTTCTTGGTTTCTCAACTGGTTTAGTGCACAGCAGGAAGTCTAACAAGCATCATTGAAGAGATTCACCCTGTTTTCCAGTCTTTGCCAATGGGCAGATCTTTATGTAAGCATGCCTATCTATTTGCAAACTGTCCCAAGTCTGATCCTTAGGGTATCTAAGCTGTTCATTGACTCTCAAGCACTACCTGATGGTCCAGAGTTGCCCGTGAGGTCAGGATGGATGTGCAGAATCCGGGTGAGGGAGTTGGGGGTATGTGGGCTTCATTACCCAGGGACTCAAGCAGGTATGACCTTCCCCCACAGCTTAATTTCAGTCACATAACCACCACATCAAGCATAGATCTGATAGCAGGTTTATGCTCCCAAAGAGACCCCAAGAGAAAGTCATCTAGATTGAACCACCTCCATAAGCAGTTCCTGGTTTGCCAATGGCTCAAACCTAGACATACAATTCCCATGTAACCCAGAAATTCCACTGTTAGATTCACCCACAAGAATTGAAGACAGGAAGTCAAGCAAACATTCACATACCAGTGTTCATCACGGTACTGTTTCAAAGTGTGGCATTGCCACCTGAGTATCAATATGCCAAGGGATGGAGATTTGAAGATTGGATGCCTGAATAACCACTAGACAGTTCACAAGGAATGAGGTTCTTGCTCATGAGACATCAATAAACCCTGAGAACATTATGCAAAGTGAAATAAGCTAGACAGAAAGGACAAATGTGATCCATTTATAACGTGTCCAGAGTAGGCAAATGTAGAGACTAGAAGTGACCAGGGGCTCAGGGAGGGAAATCAGTTAATGGTATTCGTGGAATGAACAAGTTAGCAGTGATGGGT